TTATGTATATTGTCTTTTGTGATAATCTAAATTCAGATTGAGCGAAAATGGGTGAAAACGTTGTTCGTCCAATATTTTCCGAGTTCTTCGAAACATTCTTTCCCAAATATTGATTTTAACAATTACTTTTGCAATTTATCAGGATTTTAATACTAAGCATGTTTCATTATCTTCTAAACTGAAGAAAACGATGAATTTAGATGCATATTCAAGCGGCCTCACGCAAGACGTCTCAATTTCCCCCACTTAGTGGGGGCCTATTATCATCATCATCAGGTATCATCTTCTATCAGACCTTCCAACTATCCCTATCCTCAGAATATCATTTAGCTCTCCCAATGCTCTAACACCCGCTCCATTCCTTGACATCGTCTCCCCATGTTCTTCTTTGTCTTCCCCTGTCTCTTTTTCCGTCAATCATACCTTACAGAACAAGCCTTGCCAAGAACCCGGATGATCCCCTCATAATGGGGGCCTATTATAGGGGTCCAAAAGCCGCCAAACTGTGCACAAATCAGCCAAAAGCCGCAATCCGCAATGAAAAAAGCGCAAAGACGCGGCCGCGTTGCAAAACGGCCAGAGACACAAAAAGCCAATTACTCGCTAATAAGAAAAAAGGATACATTGCTAGAAGTTGCTGTTTCTCAAGTTTCTCGCTTTGTTTCACAGCAAGCTATTGTGTCAATCTTCGTATTTGTCTGTACCCAAGTATTTTTCACTTACCGTGAAACATTTGAAGACGCTAAACATAGTAATGAATGGATCAAAGTTCGAAAAACAAAACTACAACTTACAATTTAGCTCTACTGAATAAATCGACCATTGAACCTAACTGCACGACCAAACGGTGACTTTGAGCCAACAAGGAACATAGCCTCTCTCGCTACTCGACCCGTCATTGTATCACTATCCTCTTCTTCACTCGAACAATTGCTGGCTTCACTTTCTGGTGAATTACTTTCATATTCTGGGCGTTGCGATTTGACTGCCTGATTTTCTTTGGATACCACATGTTCTTCTGACAGTTTAACTCATGTGATAGTTGTGAATTTAACTGATATTACTCAATTCAATGGGAACTGCAATCCGTAAAAAGTAAAACGTTTGTCTGTTACTGAGTTGAAATTCCATACTTTGACTTGACTGGATATCATATCAACAAAACAGTGCCATGTAGAGGAACAGTGTTTACTTTTTGTCTTCTTCATCTGAGCGCTCCACAACGCTATCGACATCCTTTTCCAACCTCGCAATAGTTGAAGAGTCAGGGTAACTTGCATGTATTTTTCTTGGTTTTTGTTTGTTTGCAAAGGATTCGATGATAGTCATCGAGGCGGCTGACTTGACACAACTATCAAAGTGGCCTATAAAAAAAGGGAAGATGTTAAAGACTTGACTCGAGCATAAAGACATCATTGCACATCGTATGTGCTTAAGAAGAAGTCTGATTTAGAAAATTTGTCAACCATAGTTTCCACAATTCAATTTTCTTACGATATCTTAACATTGCTTTAGTTCAAAGCATCTCAATTCGCGAACTCATCTCAACTTTGACTGTTGTGTTCTGATTACCAGAAACAGTTTATGAATTCATAGTAAAAAAAGAAAAATAGGCCGTTTGATGAATAGAATGTTTAATGAATAAAATATATCACTTTTTCCTTATACTTCATCATCTTCTTCATGCTTGGTTTTAAAAAGGTGATCGCAAATAAGAGGGGGGCTTTGGCATCTCACGGGTTTCGGGTTTATGTGTTTATTTCCAGACTTTGGACAAGGTTCCCGGTTTTATGCATTTCGTCTGTTGGCGGGTTCTGGTACCCCCCTCTCCCCTCCTCCGAAGGCCCCCTCAAAATAACATAAAATTGGACTATCAGAAGGAAAAAACTTTAGACTCAAAGCAATAATTTAACAAACATTTGAATTTATAAGAGAACCCATAACTCGAAATTTTCAGGAAATTCCAACAATATGATTGGATGGTTGTCATAAGATTTAGACAGAAAGAATAAAAATACTTTAAGTACCAAAAAATCTGGTTTCAAAAAGTTCGGTGGATTAATTTTCGTACGTTCGTTGGATAATTGGATAAACATTTCGGTCGCAATTTGGAAATTTTGGAGGAGCGAGAAAATTTCGGCGAGTTTAGAAATGAAACACTTTTTGTAAATCTATCAATAACATAAAATAAAATTAAATACATAAAATTTAATTAACTGTAAACATAAAATTTTCTGGAGCGCGATCATAAAAGTTTCAAATAACGAATATTTTTTCCTGCTTAAACGGACATCAATCTTAATGTATACATCCCGCGTCTAGGTACAACATTAGAACGGAAGAGAAACTCTTGACAGAATTGCCATGGGCATTTGAAAACAAGAGAAACATTGACAAGTCTAGCTACCACTACCAGAGTGACCCGGGCCGGTCAGCAGTTGCTAAAGCACTCCCCAACAGGATTTGTTAGAAAATTTCAAATTGTGCACAATTAAAAATAAGACTGTTGGGATTTTCCAATTTCCTGCCATGCCTAACACTTTATTTTATGGATTTAAGCGCTTATCTTAATCGGGTTATTTCCAGACTTTATTTAATCGGGTTATTGTGTTTATTTCCAGACTTTAAACAAGGTTAATCACGTATGAGTTACTGTTTTGGTATTTTGTTTTTGTTGTTGTAGTTGGTAATGAGGCGCATTAGCTGACTCATATACATTTATAGTTGTTGTTTTATCATTGGTTAACGTATATAATGTTTTAGTATCTAATTGGTTCTTTTTTGTTTGTTGTACCGAAAACGTAGTTAGTTGACCTTATTTAGAAAGCACATGGTATGATGTAAAAGAAAAGTGATGCCAGACTGTAGGCAGATTGAGTAGAAACGAGCTTGAAGTAGAGATGTAACAAAATGAATGAAATTAAGAGCAGCTAACGGAAATCAGAGGTCTTTGAGACAGAAGATAAGAAATTTAAAGGTTTCTTAACAAAGACTCCCGACATTAAAATTTTTGATATCATAATGACGCAACTCTAGCAATGAGAGTAATGGCCTAGAAACAATCAAGAAAAAATGAGTTCTAAACTTATTCAAAGCGTGTAGTAGTCAACTGGAGTAGTCAATGTCGATGTCGATTTTTTATTCCTATAAGAAAAATTTTCTTAGTACATCGAAGAGAAAATAAAAACCCATAAAAGGAATGGTGGACTAGCAGAACTGGCAGAAAAAGGCAAGAAAATCACTCACCATATCAGCTCTTTTAAAGATTTAAGCTAATTTCACCGCTATCTTCGCTTCTTGGGCATTAAATTCGAAATTATTCTTTCCTTGAAAAATCTTTACCGCCTTTCCCGGCTTTGTAAAAAAGCGCAACGCAAGAAATCAATTTTTTAGATTTCCTCTCTCTCTTTTGTCCCAACTGACAGAAGCTTGTCCATTTTTACGTTACTCCTAGAGCTCTTTTCAACACCCTTCAGTATGAAGGGTCTGGCCGCAGGCCGTTATTGCAGCTAGAAGCCGCAACCGCATCATAGAAGCCGTAAACCGTCGCGAATTTACACCGAAAGACGCAAGACGCATCTTTTGCTGAAGCCGCAATCTGTAAAAAAAATCATAACAAAATCCGGAGGCCGCGCGTTAAAATAGGGTCCAGGCCGCGAAACCGCAAACCTATAATAGACCCCCCTTAGTGTCTTACTTCTTGCGATGTGTTGAAACACTTTGGTCTTACCACTCTCATTTCGTTTTACAATGTTTGCTACTTCTGTTTATCATTTCATTTTTGTATTTACGACATACTAAAAGCTTTTTCGTCTGACACTCCTCTGAGCATAAAACGTCAGAATAGGTTCCGAAAGAACACGATGGAAAATATATACCCAGTTGTGGATTGAAATAGGCCAATCAGAAAAACGCAAGCACAAGACCGGTATAGTTGACCAATCAGTGCCGCGAGTCTAAAGAAAAATTACCAATGGAGTCCAAGAGAGAAAACGAACTCCTTCTGTCTACACAAAAGCGGCTTTTTCGTTTTTATGTAGATAGACTCCAAAACTACTAGATGGAAGGACGACCGGGCTCTGCCAATTATCCGAAACATGTCGTCATTATAGAGTTTTGCACAATCTGGTTTGTCTAAAAGATGTTAACCGATGACAGAATCACTTGTTTTAACAGTGTTTCTAGACCTACAGGATCGAGGAGGCTGTTCTCTTTGAGGGGCAGTTTTGTTTCTTATGTTGAAAGAAACATGTTGTTTTATCCTATCCCCCAATCTTTGGGTTGTGCGTCCTACGTAGCCAAATCACACTGGCACGTAAATTCATAAATGACGGAACTTTTTTGGTTGGTAGGAACGCAATCCTTTTGAATGGATGTAAGGGCTCTCCTAGTGCTGTAAACAATCCGAGGATTGACAGCAAAGAAACATTTTGTTATGGCTTGCCTAATCTGACTCTCGAATCGCAAGGAAATGTTACCAATCTATGGTAGTTTCAAATAAACTGGGTACTTTTGCGGACCAAACTTTTGGATAGCCGAAAAACTTGCGATCTTCTCCTTAGTATAAGATAAAATGATGTCTTCTGGATAGCCGTTGTCCAGGACGATCGTTTTGAGTTTTTCCAGTTCAGCGTGCAGTTTAGATTTCGAGCAGATCATAATATACTAATGTTTTGACAAGATTGACTTTGCGTTGTTTTGGGCAAAATGAATTCCAGCGTATGTACTGACCGGTAAGCAGGCTTGCGATATGCACTGGTAAGAAATCCAGTGTTAGACTGTTCGACCAAAACATATAAAAATTGCAAGGAACCATGTTCTTCCTTTTCAAACGTAAACTGGAGGGCTGGGTGTAGGCTATTAAGGTGTTTTAGAAAACTATCACACTCAGCCTCTGTTTTGAAAATGGTATATGTGTTATCCACATACCGAAAATAGACACCTGGCTTTTGGTCGTAGTCGAACAAACGCTCTTCATGATCATGAAAGCCAACAAAGATATTGGCCAAGGCAGGTCCCAGAGGGCTACCCATAGCGACACCATCCTTTTGTTGGTACATTTCATTGTTAAAACTGAATTCAACTGAACGTGTTGCAGTTTCCATCAGTTCAATGAATACTTCCTCTGGAAATGGTGGGCTATTAAGCTCGCTCCGGTACAAAGCGTCGGCACATACTCAACCAAAAATGAAATTACTTAGTGTCACACCCAGTATTGAATTAGTCTACCAATCAGATACAAGAATTATAAAAATTATATATTTCATCCAATCAGATTCTTGATGTTATACGTGTGATATTACTCAGCCTGCACACAAAGCAGTTTGTGATTAGTCCTATGGGTATAGTTATTATTGATACACGCAAAAGACAGGATTAGTATAATTATGCTCAAATTATTAGTAAATACATCTGTTGCTGTGTATTAATGCACACAGTTAACTATAAGAATATAAGCTTGAATACCAAAACAAATAAACAGCTAAACAATAGATAATGCACTGAGGAATTCCACAATACTTCCCTTTTACTAATGCCCTATTCTGTGCCCAAACCTATTGTTCGGCTGCGTTGAGATGAGATTTGAACGGGACCTGCCACCTGCCACCTGCCACCATTTTTTTCACTGTCATAAAACATTCTATTGGCCCAGAATTTCTTTATTCTCAAATCCATCTTAGACAAAATATGGACCAAGAATCGCGCACATCTGTTCAACCGCACCCATTCCACCTATTATAGTCAGAAACAACATAACAAGATAAAAGAATTTTCTCATCCCGGATTTCTAGTCCAGCGCTTTTTCTAGTCGACCACAATCATACGAATTTTTTAAATGAAACAGGAATGATCCAGCTATCAAAGTCGACTTCAATATGGAAACCAAAGGAATTGATATAAATCTCCAAATAGAAAGAATCGGCTTCGGAAAGTTCCAAATTATTGTTTTAGCTATCGTGTGGCTGAGGTACTTTTCATATTCATCTACAGCCAGTCTTCTCATCATATTGGAGCCCTATCTTCGTTGCTATTGGAAATTGAGTTACATGACTGCAGCATGGCTTGTCTTGCCTGAAGCTATCACTAAAATAGTTGGATCGATCTTACTTGGCAAAATGTCAGATAGGTATGGAAGGCGCAAGACGATGATACTTGCTTTCGTTTTCAATTCATATTTGACGCTGCTTTTTTCGCTATCCACCAGCACAGTTCTGTTGTCAATAATACGAGGGGTTATTGGCCTCGTCTCGTCAAGCACCATGATAGCATTTACTTATGCAATGGAAATTCTGCCAATATCCAAACGAAAATACATGTCTATTTTTGCTGCAGGGTTTTTTGCTGGATGTGGGTATGGCATTTTAGTTGCTATGGTTTCGCTGAAGTATCTATCATGGCGATGGTTCGACGCTTTTGCAGAGACCATTCCGATAACGTTAGCGGCACTTGCAGTGCTATTTCTGCCGGAATCTCCACGATATTTGATGGCCGTTGGAAAAACGGAAGAGGCAAAAGAGACTCTCCAAAGGATTGCTAAAAGGAACGGAGCAATGGATAGATTTTCGGCATTTCCTTCGTATGAATCTACTAATGCTGTGACAATAAAACATTTTAAAACGAATGTTGATGAGCGACAGCAGCAATCAAAATACGAAATGGCAAAAAGGATTGTTTTAGTAGCTTTTCTTCAATTTTATGGCGATATTGTCTCTGCAACAGTGCGTTTTGGCTCAATGCAGTTTGGGGAGAACTCTGATGTTTCCGAGTGCGGAAAATGCTCCGAGAATTTGACATACAAATATCGATGGGCGGTAGAAACCGCTGGTTTTTTCGCTGTTTTCACTTCTTACTCGCTATTAGGCAAAGTTAGCAGAGGGCTTACAATGAAAATCTTGGTAGTTTTTCTAGGTGCTTGTCTTATACCGTTTTATTGGCCTTTACGTGGATGGCCTTTGCTCGTTGCAATCGCTCTCACTGAATTTGGGGCTGCAACGCTGAATAATATTATATTAGTCTATAGAGCCGAACTACTTCCAACGTCGATAAGAACGAGCGGGTGCGGTATTTCGGATGCTTTTGGTCAGTTCGGTATTTTGTGTGGCCAGTTTATTGCTCTTTATCTTCATCACTTTAGTACAAGTCTTTCTTTTGGCATTTTACATGGTTTCACCGCAGTAGGTATTTTTATTGTATTTTATGGTATCATAGAAACAAAACATCAGCTATTAAACTGAAATAGATTGTAACCATTAGTCAAGCATAGAAACTTTGTACTGATCCATACATGTCCTACTTTTGCATTCCTAACTCGAATGATGGCGTATTCCTTAGTTGGCTCCTTTATTGCAAATTTTCTACATTTCGGAAGACATTTTTTAAATTTTACTCGATTACCACTAGAGACCTGGCGCGAATAACATAATGCCCCCTTTAGCTATTTGCAAGTGCCGTTTTAGGAGAAGTATATGTACCCTTGTAGGACTTTATTGCCACAGTGTCTCGTTTGCCTGTGCAAATTAATTGGTAAGTAAAGTGGTAAAAGCCAAAGCAGTTTTCAAAATGAATTTCACAAAGACTACTTAATGAAGCGTTTATGAAGCCGTTTCCGATTCAAGTTTTTGTCACAAAAGATCTCAAGATACTTGCTTGATACTTGTTTTTTTTGCATAATAGACTCGTCATTCATTGCCAAGATCGGTTTATTGAAAGGAAAGGAGATATGAGGTCAAAGTACTCTCTCGACATAAAAATTTAATCCATTTGCGGCCAAATAGTCTTAAACTGTAACTTGTTCATTGTTGACAAGACTTCAGTGAGTCTTTATATTGTGATAAAATAGAAATGCCAAAATGGAGTCCGTAGTAGATGATGTTATTGTGCAATCTAAAACATTTGAATTTTGATATATTAAATTAGTTAGTCGATATAATTAGGGGCGTCCTAAATGAGGGTACGGGGTTGGTGTACCCTCGACACTTTGCAACATTCTTGCAACAATTGTAACTTATTGACATTTCTGTAGTAGTTTGAATTTTAAAGTATGACACTAAAGTATGAATTTTGAAATAGAAACACAAAAAACAACATATAAGATTATCTTTCTTCTGACCACAACTCGAAGAGTGATAAATTTTTTACGATTTATCGAAAATTTGAAAATGAACTGGAAAGGAAAAAAACATATTGGTGCTGTCCTAACTGATTTATCATAAGCCTTTGACTGTCTACCAGAAAAACTTCCTTTTAGCAAAACTACATGTCTATTGTGTATGTATTAGAAAGCAGTAAATATCTATCTAAAAGAAAGCAAAATGTCAAAGGAAAAGGCTATTATTTATTATTATTATCAATTATTATTATTAATATTATTAAAAATTTGTTTTACGTTGGCAAGAAAGAACAAACAAAATATAGCTAATAAGCTAATTAACGCCAACACAATAATTTAAAACCTACTTTACGATGTCCATACTAAATCTACAAAACCCCTAAATCATCGATAAAAACTTTGCACAATCTGCAAATGCAAGTATTTCCATGCCATAATTTTATTTTTGTTTGAACTCAACTAGTGTATTGGAATCTTTAATTTCCCTTAGTAATGAGGACCACAACTGGTGACCTCTGTACTGAACATTCTCTATTCCGTATGATGTTGTCTTCATTTTTGGCAACCGCAAATGATTTTCACTTTTCAGATTGTATTGAATATCTCTCTCAGTAAAAATATTTCTCATAACTGTTGGATTTAGATTGTTTTTCGTTTTGAATATTTCAATCATTAGCAGTTGCAAGATTGTGTTGATGAATAGTTCCATATTTTTTCTTTAACTCGGCTAGCACTGATTCACTATCTTTGCATACTTATCATTGCAGCTCCTGGAGTAAACTTTGACAAGTAGTGTCACAAGGAGCAACACTTGGACCTCTACTTTTTTATATTTTCCTAAAAGATGTCTTTTCCAGCCTTAATTTAGGGTCTCTATATAATTTTGCTGATGACAACACGATATCTGTAACTGCAACAAATACCGATGCAACTTTTTCACCCTATCTTTTCTTTTCATTAACTTCTAGATCATCATTTAGAAGTAAGTATTTCCTGTTTTAGAACAAAAAATTCTAATCAGGGGGCGCAGGGGGCGTGATTTTGCCTTTTATCACGTGACCCTATGACGTACATTGTGATAACTCGGAATTTTCCTGTCATTTATAACTAAATGTCGAAAACAATTTGCAAAACAAGACCCGATTACTAACTCTTATTTGTTTAGAAGCGTGTTGTAAACGTTTATATTGCACTGTATAACAGTAGCAGCAATAAGAAATTATCACAATCTACGTCACGGTGTCACGTGGTTAATTTCCCGCCATAATTTGAAAAGAGTTTTTAAGTAGGAAAATGAAATCAGAAAGGAAAAATATTTAAACAACACTCTCATACAGCATTTTACTTTAAGTTAAAAGAAAAACAAGATTTGGCGCCAAAAGCGTGTCACTTGTCCTTTAAGGGTCCCTATATAGTTTTGCTGATGAAAACACGATATCTGTCACTGCAACAAATACTGATAAACTATTGCAACTTGTTAAAATTAACACTAATAAATGTTGACAAGTAGAGTCACATGACATTCACATGACAATCACTTTGATTTAGTTCGGAGGGTATTATCCCTTTAACAGTATCTAAAGCCTCTCCCCTTGGTTGACCCACTAAATATGTGAATTTGGCAGTGTTAGGACCTTATGAAGGTCTGGAGGAGAGTTCTCAACTTGCGACAGAAGACGCCACCAAAAGCCAAACCATTCGGTGATATTCCCATCAAAGGTCGGAAGGTTAAGATCGGGCAATTTTGATGGAGAAAATGACTGTGAATGATGTGGCTGTGAATTGGTTGTAGATAGCTTTTCAAATTTCGTTAGAAGAAATTCAATTTTAAAGGCATTGAGTCATGGTAAATAGGCTTTCTCTATAGGAGGTCATTTGGTTTCGGCGTGATCGCTGCTGTTTCATGTGATATTGGCATCTGTAACGTTTTAACATTAGTAAACTTCAGTAATTATTATTATTATGTTCAGCTAGATCTTTGATTATGTTGCGTGTTAATGTCACATGTTTGTTTGTCGCGCTGTTGTGTTAGTAACTCCCTTTCCGGGAAATGTGCGTCACTGTCATCGTGTTGTGTGATGTTTCACAGTGTTCCTTTGTTGTGTTTTAATATAATGTAATCCTAGTTAGAATAATTTAGTCTTGCTGTTGAACGAATAAAGACAACATCAAAGAACGAGTATCTCTTGTGTGCTATCTACTTGGGGCTAGGCCCGTTGGCTTAGCCCATCGCTCAGCCAACGACCTGATACTTCACCGTCATAAGAAGAACCCTAATCGTTACACATCCGTTGTTGACAACTTGCTATTGATGGAAACTGTTATGTTAATCAGTACGAGGTGAGTTCATGTGACCAGTTCAAGGTCAACCAATAGCATCGCAGTCATGGAAATCTACCCTGGGTACCAGACTCACTATATAAAACTAGAAATAGCTCTTGCTAGTACTGCCCGCAAACAATTAGTTCCTTGATAATGATTGTTTTGAAAATGTAGGTCAGGATATTCGAAGAAGACACCATCTTGGGTTTTCACAATTCTATAAAAACAGCTGCTCTAGTTGATGCTAAACTATTCTTTTTATCTTTTTATCAAGAATTTTTGGTGTTCAGTTTGCCTTTGATTTAAGTCCAACGCCCTTTTGAAAATCATGAAGTTTTTCGAGGGTTTGACATTTATTTTTCGATAATCACGACAATCATAACTTTTGCTCGTACGGTCTCGAGTTTTTGGGAGAAAAGTGTGGCATTCGACTGGTTTTGATTCCCAAAACTTCGAATCAAAACTTCCATCCATTGCGGAGAACAGAGCTGTGATGCAGCACCGTTTTCGTGCCAACAATCATAACTTTTGCTCGTACGGTCTCGAGTTTTTGGGAGAAAAGTGTGGCATTCGACTGGTTTTGATTCCCAAAACTTCGAATCAAAACTTCCATCCATTGCGGAGAACAGAGCTGTGATGCAGCACCGTTTTCGTGCCAAAAAACCGAAGGCCTTTAACAGAGTCTTGGCAGAGCAACGCTCCGAAGATAATTCCCTTCCGCACAAAGAGGTGGCGGTTAACGACCTCCTCGACAAAGCCGATTGATTGACAATGAAATTGATTGACAGTTGTCATGGCAGCAGAAAAGTGACAAAATCTCCTGAAAAAGTGCTGACAACATGAACTGAAGCTTCCATATGCTACTTATACGCGGGGCAGACTATAAGCCCTTCACTCGCGCGCTATCGCGCGCGAGTTGCGGGCAATAATAGAGAGTCTGGTCTAGTGCGCCCCATTCTCGTTCGGGTGAACTTACTTGAAAGAACTGAAGTCTATTTAACAGACTAGGCCTGTGAAACAAGACTGTCGGATAAATAACAAAGAAACTCAGTAGTCAGAGAAGTTTTGTGAAATTTTAAAGCAAATGTATTTTATATAGTTCTGTAAAGTTGACATTATTAATACAGTGATAACAGACTTTTCTGCCTCAAGATTCCAATCAAATCAGGTGTAAAACGCCTTGGCAGCAAAAAGCATATGCGAAGCATGAAATTAAAGTTAGCACAATGCAGTTACTAAATGTTAATCATTGTTAAATTTAGCATACAACTTAAAATAAGACTTTTGTAATTTTCCACATAAATTAAGTGTACTTTCAGTCTACTTCCTCACTGTGAAGGCAGCGCGCTTGGACACCGCGGCGGTTAGAATCATCACGTTGGAAGTTCGCCACAGCAAATATGGCCAATATGACAAGCGAAGCCCCGTATGCCGGGGAAAATATTAGCCATAACTGATTTACTTGTGTTTGTTGTTGTTTGTTCTCGGCGCCTTGCGGTGTTTCTTATTTACTGCATTTCACTACAAGGCCTAATTTTTTTGCAATGAGAGGCACTGCCTGAAATATCAGAGACTTTCCAAAGTCAGTTGGCAATATGGCGAAGGTGTCTCTTCTCTCTACAAACAAGGCTTTCAATGTTGTTCTGTGTTAAGTTCCACAACATGCGGAAAATATTCTTTGAGTACAGTTTTAACAGCATCTTCAAACTAAATCGTTACAGTCGCTAGCATTTATTTATGTTGTGTTCTGTTCAATGTTTTACACCAGAGCTAAGTTTATTGTTTCGCTGTGACCTTTGAACGTACAGAAATCTGTACACTCGCTCCTGATTGGTTAATATAAGCACACCAGAACGAGAATGGGGCGCACTAGACCAGACTCTCTATTTTATTTCATATATAGTGAGTCTGTTACCCAGGGTAATGGAAATCATGACTCAGCGGATTTTGGCACTTAGGGCATACCCAGTCTATTTATCATGACTCAATGCCTTTAACGACTTTACCTTGCATTTCCATGGCAAATACAATTTCGGGTTCTTTCTCTAACTCCTCGAACCAAATTCTTCGTAGCTGCATTTCGATTGCGTAGCCTTAATCGATTTGAATGATGATTTTAAAAATGAATTTCTTCCTCTACTAAACGCGGTACACTAAAAAGCGTTGAGGCTTCATTATGTATCTTCGTGAACGAACGGTCAATCTGCCTCCTCTCCTGCTTCAACTTCTCTAACTTTATTTTGGGCATTTTAATATGAATACATGAAAACATTCACAGCACTGAAAGAACGAAAACAAAACGTAGACGGACAATACGAATCCTGGTCACGGCACCATTTGTTGAGTAGCCAAAGAAGAAACAGTGTGTTTAGTAGCAAAATATATATATAGCATTGAAGCATTTAGACGAAAAACCAAACTACTCAGCATTACAATCGTTAAGAATATCAAAAGCGATTAATCAAAGTGATTGTCATGTGAATGTCATGTGACTCTACTTGGCAAATATCTTGATTGGTTTAAATGAAATGAAATGATTGCAATTGAAATCGAGAAAAATGTCATTGTTTGGTGCTTATCTCGATGATAATCATGACGATAATAATGGTGCTTAGCTTGATATGTTTGATGCGCATATCGATATGATCTGTAAAAAGAGCAGCCAAACAATTAAATTCTTCAAAAAGATTAGCATGATTTAGGGGCGGCAGAGAGAAGAAGAGAATTATGAATTCATTTATACTATGTTACCTCAATCATTATCTAATTGATATGGACGTTATGTGGTAAAGGAAGTCAGGATAAGCTAAAGAAAATTTGCGAAAGGGCATTACGACTTGCCTATTCAGACTATTCGTCTTTGTAGAAAGATTTACTTGCTAACTCAAAAGAAACTACCATGCATGTCCAATTAGTAAGAAGTTTAGCTCTTGAAGTTTATATTATTGACATTTCAAAAGCCAGAACTACCAACAATGGTATCAGATCATTAAGTTTTCAAGGGCCTAAATCTGGGATTTTTTTTATACAATATAAAAAGTTTACAAGAACGAGGTACTTAAGACTGGACTTTAAAAATTACTGGACTACATAACAAGGACGATGACCCCGGGAAGGAAGCACCCATGACTATCAGTGGCGGCTCCAGCCTAGGATAAGTGGGGGGGACAAAAGGTGTGTCAGGGACAACGTCCTTTTGGACCACGCCCTTTTCCCCTGTTTGAAACTTTTTCTTCCGGGGTAAACTGTTGTTTCCCAAGAAATGTCATTTCCATGTGACGATCTAGATAAGGTACATACCCCGCCCCTGACGTTTTCTCCTCGGGTTTGCAAGAATCTCAAGGACCAACTTTCTGAAAAAGTGGGGGGGCCTAGTCCCCCCATTCCCCCCCCCCCGTGGCTCCGCCACTGATGACTATCCCAAGGGTCATCACATAAAATACTAAACTAACTAACTGACAAACATTATTAAATGCGACTAAATACGGATACATACTGGGATCTGTTTCACATTGGATGCCAGGCCAGCACAGTCGACAGTGCTGGGACGTAGAGGCCCCGGTAGAGAGAACACAAACGACAACCGCAGTCGACGCAACTGTCCTCCCCCAAAAGCCCCCACCGCCCAAAAACCCCGCACCTGTGCTGTCACAATATTACTGATTTGATGGATGGGCTGTCAAAAACACATTTGAGTCGCCATACACCCAGTGGCGGACTGGCGACTTATTGCTGCTAGGTGGCGATCGCAACCCGGGCCCTCTCAACTTCATAAAAACCTCTCAACCCGGGCCCTCCGTAGATAAATTAGAAAAAATAACTCAGAAGATAAAACGAGTTAATCACATAAACGAATGGATGTCTGGAGAGAATGTGCCAAAGGCATGCGTAACAAGCTGCAAAAGATTGGCGAAACTAGTTGGTGGTCCAAAGATGCAGCATTAAGAAATATTTTTGGCACATATGACACCCCAGAGCCAGTTAGAGCCATTGTGCTGCTGCGGACGCTACAGAAATAAAAATCTTCCAAGGAGTTTGATTCTAAAGTTACTTACGAGGCTTCAGCACTTTAGCAGAACTGGATCAAGTTCGAGTCAATACTAACGGCGTTTGTCTTCATGAGGATATTTCAGTTCACTACTCCAGTTTCAAAGTACCTTCAAACTCAAGGGCACAAAGCCTTGGAAATGTTTTGACTGCGTATAGAATGGCACAGAGCTTTGGAACTAGCCTAGCCATCATAAGGGAGACTTTCTGTGAAACGCCTAGGAGGGCCAAGGAATTTGCAGAAAGTCTTATTGAAAAAGAATTTGTTATTGCATTACAGCTTTAGAATATTATCCCTGCTTAGGTTCAATATCAGGCCTAGGTAGGGAAATTCTTTTGGTATTTCCACCTAGGGTAGCAGAGTTAGATTAGGTACGAAAAATTGTTCTAAGAGGACTGTATATAAATATCGAATAAGGAAAAAATGAATATATATATAAATATATATATATGACAAAAATATAATACGATAAGTGTTACTTGTCTGTTCGTTCACTTTGTCTTTGTCTTTGGTAGAATTCAATTTCGCATAGAGAGTTTCAACGTTCACTTTGTCTTTGTCTTTGGTAGAATTCAACTTCGCATAGAGAGTTCCAACGTTCAAGAGTGATCTTCTCCAATTTCGTGAGATTCCTTCGGTTTTACGTACTTCGTATTCTTGCATACATTCGAACAATACTGAGAATTCCAACTCATAAAATCATAAAAATATAAAAGCTATAAAAACGGGTTTCACCCCAGCCTTAAGCCCCAGGACACGTCTCGTGAGCAGCAAAGCGCCACCGCAATTTCTTACACTCCCCCCTTGACCAGCTTTCCTCATAGTTCGTTATCTTCCTCAAGCTGGTCAATAATTCGAATACTTTCTTGCGCGATGACTGCTGCCTTTCTCTTTGTTTTTTCTTGCTTGTCCTCGGACCTTGTCGTTTTTTCATTGGTCGCACAGGCTTCTTTGGGCTCTGAAGAAAGTTCTAACGGAAACAGTTTCTGAATTGGTCGTTCTATGAAATTTCCGTTAGCTAGCTGAATTCTGGCACCGCGGGTCACATCATCGCGTCCTATGATTAAATCTGCAACTCGACCAAGTTTCCATTCAATGCGATTTCGAATGTTTTCATCTTGAACCGTAACGACATCTCCGATGTTGATATTTGGTCTATCACGAGTCTTATTTGGCACCTTGTGATATTCCCGAAGATCGATTAGATATTCTTTCTTCCAGCGCCGCCAGTAATGCTGAAAAACTCGAGCAACATGCTGTTCCCTTTTTCTTGCAACGTCTGCCGTCTCGTTGTAGTCGATATCTTCTTCGAAATACCGTTCTGGTAGACTAAGTAGTCTTCTCCCGATTACAAGGTGAGAGGGCGTTAACGGTTCTTCGAGTTCCGATGAATAAAGATATGTAAGAGGTCTTGAGTTTAATACCGATTCGATTTGTATAATGATGGTCTGTATCTCATCATAAGAGAGTTTCGCCTTTGATAAATTCTTTTTAAGACATGATTTTATTCCGCGTATTAGTCTCTCGTAGAATCCACCCCACCATGGGGCCTTAGCAAGGTTAAATTTCCATCGTATCTTTCTATCTGTAAGGTAATTACTTATTTCCCTTGACTTGAAGAGCTTGACGAGTATTTTTGAAGCCGCTTTGAATGTTTTTGCATTATCTGTTACGATGATTCTTGGAATCCCTCTTCTACTAACGAAACGCTTGAGACACAATAAAAAGGTATTGGTTGTCATATCTGGTACAACTTCAATGTGTAACGCTCTAGTGGTAGCACACGTAAATAAAGCTATATACACCTTCTTCAGTGAATTGTCTTCCGTTCTTACGTACAGAGGGCCTGCAAAGTCAATGCCGACTGCGTCAAATGCGTGTGCCTCGTAAACGCGAAAATCTGGCAGTTGGCTCATTTTCGGTTCTCCGTATGACTGGCCTTGGATACGGATGCACAATCTGCACGGTCTGATTGTCTTCTTCACAAGCTGACGGCCCTTGACAATCCAAAATCGTGATCGTAAGTCTGCAAGGGTCTCCTTCACGCCGTTATGCATGACGTTCGAATGACTTTGAAGGATGATCAGGATGGTCAACTGGCTGTCTCTAGGTAGTAATATGGGATTCTTGGCTTGAAGATCTAGATTTGAATTATTCAGACGACCACCACATCTCAAAATTCCATCCTTATCCTTGAATACATCGAGTTGTGGCTCTATTTTCTTGACGTAGGCCTTGTTGATGGTCATTTGTGCGGACTGAATAAGGATATTTTCTGCCGTTTCCATTTCCTTAGCTGAAAGTTCTTCTGTTTTTCTGTCGTCTCTATTTCTAATGTTGTAGATAAATCGAAGTACGTACGCTGTTATTCGTAACACCTTGTTGTAAGAGCTGTATCTTTCAATATGGATTATTTCTGGAAGATTGTGCGTAATCTCTGCGGACGTACTTAGAACCGTTGTCTTAGAAGGGTCTGAAGCTTTCAACTCGCCGCTGCAGTCGCTTGGCATCTCTTCTGTCTCGAACAATTCTTGAGCTATAGGAATCGATACGTGATCATTTGCAAGCCAAGTTGGGCCTCTCCACCATGTCGATCCGCTCTGCAAGCTTTGCCACACTCGCCTTTCTGGTG